GCGGGATGCTGGGCCCACACAGGTCCACGTCCAGGATCCCCACCTGGGGACAGCCACAGCCCTTCAGACACGCCCGGCAGGGCGGGCTCGGCAGCCCCCGACCGCCCAAATTTGGGCTGCCCACAGCACCCTCACAACAGCCCCGTTTGGAACACAAATGCTTTGAATTTCATATCCCTCCTGACCTCCTGCTCCCCAAGGAGCATCCCCTGGGTGTTTTCAAGTGCTTCATGCCAGAACCCAAGTGACACGGGCTGCACAAAGCCTTTAAAAAGATCCTCAGGGAATTCAGTCTGTCTCCTGCCCACCCATCCCCTTTTTATCCCCATTTTAAGAGTCCTTGAGCTCACCTACTTCACCCCACAGAGGCAGTGAGGGTGGCACCACAAAGCAGCAAAGCCACGTTCCAGTGCCAATTTCAACAATAAATATTGGGTGGTTTAATAAAATAGATAAAAGAGAAACGAACTGCAGTGCCTGAACTGGATCACACTATCACCAATTGCATTTTCACAGAGAATGCACACGCTGCCCACCAAGGACACCCGCATGGAAAGGATGTGCAAAGTCCAGCCCAGCTGAAGGCAGGAAGGGACAAGGCAGAGCTCAGCAGCCCAAACCCTCACTCACCCTCTTGCCGGCGTGCCGCAGCGCCAGGGCCAGCTCGGTGCAGAGGGTGCTCTTCCCAACGCCGCCTTTCCCCGACAGCACCAGCACGATGTGCCGCACCCCGGCCAGGCTGGCTCTCTCTGCAAGTGCACCACACAAGCAGGGAATATCCTGAGTGGGAAGGGAGCCACAGGGATCATCCAGGACAGCTCCTGGCCCTGCACAGACCCCCAGCAATCCCACCCTGGGCATCCCTGGCAGCGCTGTCCAAGCACTCCTGGAGCTCTGGCAGCCTTGGGGCTGTGCCCATTCCCTGGGGAGGCTGGGCAGTGCCCAGCACCTCTGGGGGAAGAACCTTTCCCAAAATCCAGCCTGACCCTGCCCTGGCCCAGCTCCAACTGTTCCTGTCCCTGTCACAGAGCAGAGATTGGAGCTGCCCCTCGGAAGGAGCTGCAGTCCTGCTGAGCTCTGCCCTCAGTGTAAGGCAGTGGGAAAGAAGAGGTGGACATGCCACAGGTGTTTTGTCATCAGAACAGGGACAATGAGAGCAATGGCAATAAACACCGTGTGTGGGGAACAAAGGCTGGTCCCGATGACCTCAGTGGAAATTGGGCAGCAGAGCAATAAACACGCACGGGGCTCGTGAGGCTCAGCCGGGCCATGGCCCGAGGCTGATGGTGAGCTCAGGCCCTTGGCGTTTCCTTCCTCCGTGCCACACCAGTCGCTTCCTGCCAGTGCCACGCTCCTCTCCAGCCCTCCCCGCACTCCCGGCTGTGCTGCCAGCGCTCCCGGCTCTGCTCTGGGCTCAGCTCCCCGGAGCAGGGAGCGCTCGGCACCGGAGTCCCCGGCCCGGGGCACGCAGGGGCAGCCGGGCCGCTCCAGCCACAGCCGGCGACCGCCACCCGCCTAGCCGGGACCGCGTCCCCCGACACGACCGGGCACGGATGAACGGGCCGGCAGCGCACGGCACCGGCGGCATGGAGCCCGCACGCACCATGGCAGAGCTCATCCGCTCCTCCGCCGACGGTAAAGGCCACGGGCCCCAACGGGGAAGGGTGAGCAGGGGCCCGGGGAGGGGCGGACGGGGCTCCGCAGCGAGCTGCTCCCGGGGTACCGCCCGGTGCCGGCGAGCGGCTCCCGGGATACCGCCCGGGGCCGGCGAGCTGTTCCCGGGATACCGCCCGGGGCCGGCGGCAGCCCCGCGCCCGGCCCGGTTACTCGGCGCTGTGTGCCGCGGGAGCCGGGCCCGGGCCTCTGGAAAGGCTCGGCGGCACCTCCCGACAAGCGGTGCCCGCCGCCTGCGGGAGCCCGGCCCGGCCCGGAGCGCTCCTCACCAGGAGTCGGGCCGAACACCGCGTCAGTGGCTCGGCCTGAGCACTTCGGAACTCCGTGGAACCGGGTCCTGACCGCCCTCCAGGCCCGGTCATCCCGGTTCGGACGCTTCCCCCGAGGCCGAGACCCCGCATCCCTGTTCCCCCAGCCCGCGGCCGCCCCGCCGCTCACCCCCGGCCGTCTCCTCCATGTTGCCTCCCCGCATCACCCACTTCCGCCTTCCGCCGGCCCACGGCCCGCCCCCTCAGACTGATAGGCGCTGTGCCCAATCGCAAGCCGCATGTTCACCGAAGAACCCGCCCTCCAGGCTTCACAGCCAATCCACGTCTCGCGTTCCTTTCACATCAGCCAATGGGCTTAGTGCTTTCCCTTCGGGAGCGGCCGCCCAATGGCGCCGCTCTCTGGCGATTGGCACATGGGGTAGCCAATAGTGCCGGGCTCTCTCAGGCCCCGCCCCCTTTGTCCCCCTTCGCCTGTGAGTGACAGAGCGCTCAGCCAACGGCGAAGGGGCGCGGCGCGGCCGCAGCCAATGGGCGCCAGGGGGCGGTGCCGGAGCCGATTGTTTATGTCCCGGGAGAGGAAAGTAGGTCAGGGCGCCGCGGGCCGGGCCGGGGCAGCGCCGGGCCGGGCCGGGCCGGGCCGGGCAGGTGGGCCGGGACCGGGGGCTGGGCCGGGGCCGGGAGCGGGGTTGGACATTGGCTGAGGGCGGGCCGGGGCCGTGCGGCCGAAGCGCCGCGGCCTGGCCCGGCCCGGCCCGGCCCGGCCCTGTCCGGCGCGCCCCAGCCGCCGGGCTCCGGTGCCCGCCCTCGGGGGAGCCGCTGCCCCCGCGGCCAGGGAGCCGAGCCGGGCCCGGCCGGACCCCGCCGCGGCTCCGCGGGTCACGCCGCGGCATCGCCTCGGGCCTTGGGAAGGCCTCGGCGGGCCCAGGGCCGCTCAGGGTAAGCGGCTGCTGCGGCAGCGGGAGCGGGATGGGGCCGTCCCGTCTGCCGCACTGCTCCCGTCCCACGGGCAGCTCTGCTCGAACAGGACATGAGGGGCTGGAGCGTGTCCAGGGGAGGGAACAGAGCTGGGAAGGGGCTGGAGCCCCAGGAGGGGCTGAGGGAGCTGGGAAGGGGCTCAGCCTGGAGAAAAGGAGGCTCAGGGGGACCTTGTGGCTCTGCACAGCTCCTGACAGGAGGGGACAGCCAAGGGGGTTGGGCTCTGCTCCCAGGGACAGGAGGAGAGGGAATGGCCTCAACTGTGCCAGGGGAGGTTTACACTGGATATTGGGAATATTCCTTCATGGAAGGGGTGGTCAGGCACTGGCACAGCTGCCCAGGGCAGTGATGGGGTCACCACCCCTGAAGGGATTTATAAGACATGTGGTTGTGGCACCTGGGGACATGGGTTAGTGGTGGCCTTGGCAGTGCTGGGGGAATGGACTCGTTGGTCCAAGAGGTCTTTTCCAGCCATACTGATTCTGTGACTGAGTCTGCCATCAGTGCTGGGATCTCTGTGCTGGCTCTAAACCCCATCCTTAGCGAGGGCCTGGGGGAGCAGGGCAGCTCTGTAGGGCTGCCGTGGGTGCTCAGCAAAGCTGGAGGAGGGGTTTCTGCTGTGGTTTGAGGTGCTGTGCGAGCCCTGTGGTTTCAGCAGGTGGGATTTCCAGAGCCCTTCAAATCATCCATGGGTAGCTGCACAGCTGGCTGTGGCTTGGCCTGTCCTGCTTTTCCAGGAGCTGCTCTGCCCCTGGGGATGCAGGCACAGGCAGAACAGGGCTTGGTGCTTTATGGCAGGCTCTGCCTTGGGGCTGAGCTGAGGGAGAGGGTTCAAGGGTTACAGCCCTGCTGGTGCCTCTTGGTGGGGAGTTGAATCCTGCAGAGATAAACCTCGGGTAGATGAGATTGGAAGCTGAGGTTTGGTTTCCCTGTCACATCCAGTGCAGTGCTCCTGTGTGGGAGCTGGTGTGGCCTGTCAGGCTGTGCCCAGGGAAGGAGCCTTGGGAAATTTATCTCTGAACAACATCCCTGATGGGCTGGGAGACAGGCAGCTGCTTCTGGTGCCCTGGGAAGGCTGGATCAGAGACTAGACAGAGCTAAAGAATAAAGCAGGGATTTATTAAAAAGCCTCTATGGATCCACCTTGGGCAGCACAAGAGCCCAGTCAGGGCTACACCCAAGATAAGCCAAAATGGTCACAAAATGCATGGCCTGTCACTTTTATAAGTTTTATAAGGGTCTCTCACTTTTTATAAGTTCTGGTCCATTTGCATTTTGGAGTTCATTGTCCAGTTATAGCTCCAGCCCATGAAGTCCCATCCTCCTTGTTTTTCTCTCTTCAGTCCATGTTGTTTCTGCTCTTGGGCCTGAGATTTGTCTCATTTGTCCTTGGTCCCCAGCTAGAGCAGGAATTGTTTTGTCTCCCTACTCTGTGAAGAGAGCTCACTATCTTCTAATGTGAAGCTCAGACGGACACACTAAAGCAGCACAGAATCTGAAGAATATAAAAGCTAAAACCTGAGGCATCGCTTCCCTTTTGCTTGTTGTCCTTGAGGCAAGTTGGGACAGGTTTCCTTCCAGTGAGCAGGAAAGTGGTTTCTCTTCCTCTCCAAGCACTGAGGGCAAAGTTTTCCATCAGAGGGCAGTTGCAGGTGGACAGCCTTCCCTGGAGACAGGGCCAGGGCAGCTGCTGGGGGTCACTGGGCACCAGGGAGGCTGTCTTGGAGCAGCCTGGTCTAGTGGAAGGTGTCCCTGCCCATGGCAGGGGGTGGAACAAGATGAGCTTGCAGGTCCTTCCAACCCAAAGGACTCTGTGATTCTGAGAGCCCTGAAGCTCCCCAGGCCAGGTGAGAGGTGGCTGCTGAGCCCAGTCCCTGCAGAGGGGCAGCTGCTGCCACCACAGCTGGATATTGGGAGCGTTCCTCATGCCAGCTGGCTCGGGGAGAAGTTGACCCTGGGTGGAGAAAGAGGTTGAACTTTGCAGAGGCTGATCCCCCTGGGGCGTTTGGTGACCGGGGAGTGGCCGGGCAGGTGGCAGAAGCGTAACAGAAGTGTCATTTGGTGTTCCCTCCCCAGCCTACCTGCGTGCGGGCAGCATGGCGCGGCGCCCGCGCAGCAGCCGGGCCTGGCGCTTCGTCCTGAGCGGGGTCCGGCGCGAGGCCGACGGCTGGGCCGGCGCGCGGGGCTGGGGCTGCGACTCCGACGGCCAGGTAGGCTGGGCTCGGGGGCTCCGGGTGGCACAGGGGGGGCGTTCCTGTCCCTGATACCAGGTGTGAGCTGGCCTAAAGCAGGACGGATTTAGTAACGGTCAATATTGGTACTAAACGAAATGCTTTTTCAAGTGTAGAATGGGTGTGTCATTTCGAAAGTACATACAATATTTTTATAATTTTTTTTTTTTAAGTAGAGCTCTAGATAAGTGTTTGAAGTGGATCGGTTCCCTAATCTCCCTGGCTGTGCTCCCTCCTGGGCTGTGAGGGGCTTGGAGATGGTGGTGGAGATTGCAGAGAATTTCAGACTGGAATTTCCTCACATTTCCTGCTTTGCAATGTGAACCTCACTTCTGAACCTGGTCCAGGTGTGCTGGAGATGGGAACACAGCAGGCAAGAGCAGGAGTAAAACAGTGCAAGGAGTGACTGATTTGCCTCTGCCGTCCTTCCCTATTTCCCCAGTTCCTGAGTGTGTGCATTGAGGTCCCTGTGCAGTGGTGTGGGCACAAGGAGCTGCTCCAGGAGCTTCAGAGCCACACTGAAGCCAGGAGGCTCTGCCAGAGCACAGTGCCCAAACCCAGGCACTGTGCTCCCAGAAAATGAGCAGTTTTCTGTCCCTGCAGTCAGGGGAATGACAGGATTTCTAGGTGCCTGTACTTGGGAAAGTTAGAAGTTAGGAAAGACAGAGCCCAAGCTCTTGGATCTGCAGGCCAGAGAAGGAGGCCTGGGCAGTACATATGTAAGCCTAAGTAGTTTCAATTCCTTGTCTTGCAGAGCTGCAAGAACATGAGTTTAAAAGATTTTTGTCATTAAATACTCCTGACCATGGTGGTGAATAACAAGCAGGTACAGCTGAGCAGCATGTAAACCTAGAGTAACTCTGCAACCAGTGATAAGAGAATTCCTTAGGCAACACCATAACGCAGGAGTGAAACTGGGCTGTGACTCTCACCATGTCCAGTCCAGGATCACTTTGGTCTACTGGCATTGGGGAACAGTAAATCAGGTTTTAGTGTTCATGAAAGTAAACAAAGCCCTTTAATCCTGCTCTGGGTTCCCTGTGGGCCTGTCTGCAGTGCTGGCCTGAGGAGCTGCAGCCGTGCTGCTCAACTGGCTCCCTTTGTTCTGCCTCCTCTCCTTTCTTCTCCTTTGCCTCTCAGCCTCTTCACGGCCTCTCCAGAGCAGTGCTTGGCTCTGCTGATGGCTGGAACCTGCCTGGTGAGAGCCAAAGCTTTAGCACAGAATTTCCTGCAGAATGTGTGTGTTCCAGACTTGGGCTGTCACCCTGCTGTGACAGCTTCATGTCCCAGGCAGGAACACAGAACGTACCTGCACTGCAGAGTGTGAGAGGTCCCTGCAGCTCAGCAGGCCCTGTCCGTGTCCCAGAGCAGGATAATTCCATGGGCACAGCCTCCCTGTGTGACAGGAGCCTGGGGATGTCCCAGCAGAGCCCTCCCGGAGCTCTGCCAGCCCAGCAGTGAGCGTTCCTGTTCTCCCAGCAGCACAGCGACTCGGATTCGGAGCCGGAGTTCTCCTCCCTGTCTCCCTCCATCCCGAGTGCCATCCCTGTGACTGGAGAGTCCTACTGCAACTGTGAGAACCAGAGTGAAGCTCCCTACTGCTCCAGCCTGCACGCCCTGCACCGTGTCCGCGACTGCCGCTGCGGCGAGGAGGACGAGTGTAAGGGGCTCTTGGGATGGGGACACCCCTGCAGTGTCCTGTCCTGTCCCAGCATTCCTGTATTTACATCCCCAGGCTGTAGGAGGATTACCAGCCCGTGCCTGCTGTCGTGTTTCCAGGCTCAGGGCTGATGCTGTTACGGCGTCAGCGCTCACCCCTGGGACCTGCTTCCCGATCCAGCTTAGGCCCCAGTGAGACAGAGCTGGTGCTTAGGGCCCTCCTGATCCCTGCAGGGGTTGGCAGGGTGCCTGGCTCAGAGCACAGGGTGGGCTTGGGCTGGGGGGAGAGCCTGTGGCATGGCAGAGCCACCCCTTGATCCTATGAGGAGTGTGGGGAGAAGGGAGGCTCTGCCAAAATTCGGCCTGGTGAATGCTGACAGCTTTGGAGCACTGGTCCATCCCTGGTGGGACACTGCAGAGTAGTTCAGGCCTCAAGCAGTTCTTTGATGTGCACAGCTTAAGATTTATCCTCTTAAACAAAAAGAAATAGAAACAAACCCGCTGACAGGCCTTCAGAACAAGCATCTGCATGTGCTTTGGCTTGGGGCTTGTTCCTGGAGGGTCTTTGCCCATCTTTGTCCCCTCTGTGTTTCCTCAACAGATTTTGACTGGGTGTGGGATGACCTGAACAAGTCAACGGCCACGCTGCTGACGTGTGACAACCGCAAGGTGAACTTTCACATGGAGTACAGCTGTGGCACGGCCGCCATCCGCGGCAACAAGGAGCTGGCAGAGGGCCAGCACTTCTGGGAGATCAAGATGACCTCCCCGGTGTACGGCACTGACATGGTACGTGTGGGGCACACAGAGGTGCCCAGCATTGTGGACAGGGGTGGCGGGATGAGGTTCCACCATGGCAGATGAGGTTTGAGGCTGTCTGGAAGTGCACAAAGCCGTGGGGAGCTAATGAGATGTATCCGTGGGATCTGAGGGAATTGGTGGATGAAGTGCCTTAGCCACTATCTATCATACTGGAGAAGCTTTGCAGTCTGGTGAAGTTCCCAGTGACTGGAAAAGAGGAAACATAACGTCCATTTTTAGAAAGGGAATTAAGGAACATCTGGGGAAGTACAGGCTGACCAGTCTCACCTCTGGGCCTGGAACAGATCCTTTTGGAAACTATGCAAAGGCACGTGGGAAAAGTGGATGTGATTGATGACATCCATCATGGCTTCACTAAGGGATTCGGGCCTTCTGTGATGGGGTTGCAGTGCTGGTGGAGGAGGGAAGAGCAACTGATCTCATCTACCTGAACTTGTGCAAAGCATTTGTTGCTGCCTTGCATGGCATCCTTGTCTCTAACCTGGAGAGACATGGATTTGACAGAGGCACCACTTGGTGGATATAGAATTGTCTGGATGATCACATACAAAGAGTTGGGAGTCAACAGAGACCAGTGACAAGTGACATTGCTCAGGGACTGGCACTGGGACCAGTATTGTTTCACATCTCTGTTGGGGACATGGGCAGTGGGATCGGTGCATCTTGGCAAGACTGGAGCTGACACCCAGCTGTGTGGGGAGTTGACACCCTGGAAGGGAGGGATGGGGCATCCAGAGAGACCTGGACAGGCTGGAGAGGTGGGGCCATGGGAAAAAAGCTGAACAAGGCCCAAGTGCTGGTGCTGCACCTGTGTCACGGCAATCCCAAGCAACAATCCAGGCTGGGCAGAGATTGGAGTGAGAGCAGCCCTGGGAGAAGGACATGGAGTGTTGGGGGATAAGAACTGGACCTTCCCTGGCTGTGAACACCCAGAACCCCTCCTGTGCTGGGCTGAGCCCTCAGCGTGGGCAGCAGGAGGGGAAGATTCTGCCCCTCTGCCCCCTCAGGTGAGACCCCACCTGCAGAGCTGCTCCAGCCCTGGGGCCAACAGCAGCAGGACCTGGAGCTGCTGGAGAGAGTCCAGGGGAGCCCAGGGAGATCCCCAAGGGCTGGAGCCCCTCTGCTCTGGGTCAGGCTGGGAGAGCTGGGGGTGCTCACCTGGAGAGGAGAAGCTCCTGGGAGAGCTCAGAGCCCTGCCAGGGTCTAAAGGGGCTCCAGGAGAGCTGGAGAGGGACTGGGGACAAGGGTCTGGAGAAGGGAGAATGGCTTCCCACAGGCAGAGGGCATGAATAGACAGGATATTGAGAAGGAATTGTTCGCTGGGAGGGTGGACAGACCCTGGCACAGGGTGCCCAGAGCAGCTGTGGCTGCCCCTGGATCCCTGGCAGTGCCCAAGGCCAGGCTGGATGGGGCTTGGAGTGACCTGGCCTAGTGGAAGGTGTCCCTGTCCATGGCAGGGGTGGGAAGAGATGAGCTTTACAGTCCCTTCCAACTCAAATCATTCTGTGACTGTGAACAGGACAGTGACCTCCATCATTTTAGCTGGGCCTCCTCACTTAGGAAAGGATATCAAAGCTTGGAGCCTTCTGCTCCACCCTGAAACCTCTGACTTGGTTTCACCAACCCCTCTGGGTGTTTTGGGCTGAGCCAAAAAGAGGAGGAAAGAACTGGAGGTGGAATCTTGGTTGTGTATTGTTGCTTGAAAAGGCACTGAGCTCGTGTTCTTCCTCCCTGCTTTGCCTCCCAGATGGTGGGGATTGGGACGTCGGATGTGAACCTGGACAAGTACCGCCACACCTTCTGCAGCCTGCTGGGCAAGGACGAGGACAGCTGGGGACTCTCTTACACAGGTAGCATGGCCTGGGTGGCTGGGTGGGCAGCACTGGCATTAGAGGTGCCACCAGGCCTTTGTTAAGAATCCCTTTGTTAAGATAGCAGAGCAGCTGCTGGCAGCTCGCAGCCCTTGGAGCATCTCTCCTGGCCTATGTTTTGCAGAGCCCCTTTAGATCTGGTGTGGGACCCTGCCAGGGCACCAGGGTACTACTGTCACATCAGCACTTTGGGGTTTCAGTGCTGCTCCCTGTGCTCTGGAGTGTAAAACTTCACTTTTGCCTTTCCACCAGCCACTCTGGGATGGAAGGGCAGGGGTCAGAAATGCAGGGATGTTTTTGGCACTGAGCGAGGCTGTACCAGCAGCATGGGAGTTGGGATGAATTTCTGGAGTGAAAGTTTTCCACAAAATGCCATTTTTGAGTGTATTTTCAGGACTGCTGCATCACAAGGGGGACAAAACAAACTTCTCCTCTCGGTTTGGCCAAGGCTCCATTATTGGGGTGCATTTGGACACGTGGCACGGGACACTCACGTTCTTCAAGAACCGCAAGTGCATAGGTGAGAGCCAGGGATGGGGTGGGAGGAGCTCGGGTCTGGCTGCAGCAGAACACACTGGGAAAGCAGAAGACCAAGGTGTGAAGTGAGTGGGAGGAAGGTCACGTTTGTTGTTTAATAGATCGGGATTTTGGAAAGCTTTTCCCGACAGCTTTGCAGTTAATGGGTTTGGGGTAGGTGGGAGGGGGGAGATCCCTTTGTCTAAACTAACGTGGCCTCCCTGGTGCTGTGCCCTGGCAGGGGTGGCAGCCACAAAGCTGCAGAACAAGAAGTTTTACCCCATGGTGTGCTCGACGGCGGCCAAGAGCAGCATGAAGGTGATCCGGTCCTGCGCCAGCCGCACGTCCCTGCAGTACCTGTGCTGCTTCCGCCTGCGCCAGCTCCTGCCCGACTACGTGGACACGCTGGAGGTGCTGCCCCTGCCCCCGGGACTCAAGCAGGTGCTGCACAACAAACTGGGCTGGGTCTTGAGCATGAACTATAGCACGTCGAAGCCTTCCTCCTCCTCATCCTCGGGGAGCGACTCGGACAGCTCGTGCGGCTCGGATGCGGAGGCCTGCCAAAGGAAGAGGTGCAGGAGGACATAATGGCTCTGCACAGCACGTGCGTGGGGGTTCATTGTGTTGTTGCAAGGGCAGTCAAGCGTGATGCACCTCTTCCTTCTGGGGACGTCCATCTGTTGGCAAAGATTTCTCCAGTGCTGTGGAAATCTTTGGCCTTGACATCCATCACAGGCATTTAGAAGAGCTGCTGGCTCTAAGAGATGCCAGTTCTGACACAAGAAATTTGTGGTGAAATATCTGAGCTTCATCTCCTGACTTGCTATGGAAGCCAGCGCTTCTTCGTGAAGGATCTCTCTTCTTCCTGCTGGCACAGACAATGTTTAAGAAATTGGACTTGATGACAGGAGTTGATCATCTTCATGGCTCCCTTCCAGCTCAGGATGTTCAGGCAGTCTCCTGGTTGGAATGTACTGAACTCCAGTCAGACAACAGACCTGACTCATGGAGACACAGTCCCAGGCCAGTCCTCTCCTCTCTGTGTGTGTAGGTTTGGTGTCTGCCATGACCCCGTCCCACTCTGGGGCAGCAGCTGCAGGGAAAGGGCCCCCAGAGACACTGCTGGGAGCAGGTACAGCAGCTGAGCTGTGGGGGTCTTCCTCCAGCCCCTGGGGACTTTTAATTGCTTTGCATGTTGTTTTCTGCTGCCTCTCCTCTGTCCAAGCCTGTGTTAAACTGTAATAATAAATGTAGAAGCTGTCTGTTGTTCCTCTTGGGGCCCTTGAAGGCAGGAGGCTGCAGGTGCTTGTCAGAAATAGGCTGGGCAGCAGCGTGGAGGGGAGGTTTTGGGTGCAGCAGTTGTGTCAGAGCTGGAGGAGGCGAAGGCAGCAGAGCTGTCCTTGTCTCTGCCCTGTGCAGGGCTCTTGTGTTTCCCACAAGCAGAAACCTGGCTGGGGTGATGTTCAGTGGAGCCAGGCTGATGCCTGTGGCTGTGCACTGGAAGGGAGGCTGCAGGCTTTATATGGCCTATCCTCTGGCAGGTCATGCTGGGAAACACACCCCAAAGCCCCACCCCAGAGCCTGGCAATCAGAGCTGCCCCTCCAAGACTTAGTGGTCCTGCTGAGGGGAAATGCTGGATTAGGATCTGGAGAAGTGACTTACTGTGCCATGGCCACATGCCACTGCCAGGGACTGGGCTGTGTGCTCCCACAGGGCTGCTGCCAAGCCAGGCCAGTCCCTGCAGGCCTGTGGTCAGCCCATGGGACTTTTCCCCAGCCTCTGAGCTCTCCTCTGGTGGACTGAGGAGTCAGGGCCGAGCTGCTGCTGCCAGCCTTGCAAAGGGCATTGGAAAGTGGAACAGGGCTGAGGTGTGGATGGGAAATGGCTTTTAACCAGTTCTCTCTGTGGGTTTCCTTCCAACATGTTCCAGCTACTACCTTCTCTGCTCCCATCACAGACCCCCAGAGGCTCAGGTAAAACTCCTTGCACCATGTGCACTTCTTCCCTGCTGAGCTCATGCCCAAATCCTGAAGCAAAGATGGCTCTGCTGCTCTGGGGCCAGGCTTTGAATGAGAACTTTAGTGCAGTAGGTCAGCCTCTGTCCATGCCCCTGGACTGGTGCTGCAGCCAGAGCAAGCTGCCTTGCTGGTTTGCTCTTCCCCAGCAGCTGCAGGCAGAGCAGGGAGGAACATGCTTTGGAGGGGCTCTCCTGCAGAACTGGTTGCTCCAGGGCTGTGGGAAGAAGTTCAGGAGTTCTGTGTCACTGTGGAAAGCCCCAGTGAACGATCCTGAACCTCAGCAGGCACTGGGGGAGCCCTGACCCACCCCCATCCTGGCTGTGGCTGTTTCTGAGTAATAATGGAGCACTTGCTTTGGGAAAAGAGAATTTCATCCTAACCCACCATTTCTTGTGGATTTTCTGGAGCTTATTCAGCATTTTGTCATGTTGGGAGTTCAGTGAACAAGCTGCCCTGCCCTGAGCTGTGTTACCCCAAGGAAGTGGTTCCTCTCCTCTCGGCTGGTTTTGACAGTTGGCAGGTGTTTTCCAATGTGACTCAAACAGGATCCACATGTCCCTGGAAGCCACAGCAGGATCTACAGAGACAGAGCCAGAGCAGGACATGGGAAGTCAGGACATGGGAAATCAGGCTTGTCCAGCACCTCACCTGCAAGGACAGAGTTACACCAGCCCCTGTTCCAACATTCCTTAGCTCTCACAGGAGACAGGCAGCGGGAGAGAAAGCTGGGGAAGCTGAAAGAGGAAATGAGAGCCAAGAGGCTGAGGAAAGCTTCTGTAATGAGACATTTATTGATGTGCAAGTCCCTGTTCTGAAGGAGAATCAGCTGCTTCCCCTGGCTGGGCTTCCAGCTGCAGCTCAGCCACAGCCACGCACTGGCAGATAAAAGGAGTGACCAGCACCAGCCACGGTCCCTCTGTGGGGACTAGGACAGAACCAAAACAGGGCTGGGCTTAGAGATGTGCCCCAATGCAATGGTCTTTGCCACTGATGTCCCATGTCACTGGGATGCTCAGAGGGTGTCACTTGTCACCTTGTGTGCTGCATTCTCCATAGGCCTTCGAGCACAGAAGAGGAGGGAACAGTTAGCCCAGATGCTCTGGAAGATCCTAGTCTTCCCTGCAGGACTCAATCCCATTGTTACAATGAGGATCCATGACTGAGCCTTCATCCAAACATATCGGGATGGGGAAGATGAAGCTCAGAGCAAACAAGTATCTATAACTTGGAAACAGAATTTGCACACACTCAGTTGTGTGTTATCTGTCCAGAGAGAGCTGTAAGGCCACTTCATAAAATCCTAGAATGGTTTGGGTTGGAAAGGACCTTAAAGTGTATCTCATCCCACTCCCTGCCATGGGCAGGGACACCTTCCACTATCCCAGATTGCTCCAAACCCCATCCAACCTGGCCTTGGACACTTCCAGGGATCCAGGGGCAGCCACAGCTTCTCTGGGCTCCCTGCCAGGGCCTCCCCACCCTCCCAGAGAACAATTCCTTCCCAATATCCCATCCCAATATCTGTCCCTGCCCTCTGGCAGTAGGAAGAAACTCATCTTCCAGAGAGGCTGTGCTGAGGCCAGAGACCAACCAAGGCTCCAGGGCAAGGGAAAGGATGGGGGAGTATTTGACTACATGAGATTATATAAAAAAGTTCTGACAGAGTTCCTCATCCAATAGTTTTATATGATTAATGTTCACAAAAACAAGCACCTGCTGATAAAAATGTGCCTTCATCCATTGGCTGAGCTGCTGTCAGAAGGGTCAGAGCATCCCAGTCCAGTCCTGCTCCTGCCATTCTCAGGAGCAGCAGAAAGCTCAGGGACGTGGTGGGAGGGAGAAGTTGGTGAGCTCAAACAGCTCCTTGAAGGATCAGAGAGCAGAAGAGCAAGGAAGGTGTGGGGTACACCATGAGGAGAGCTTGGTGTCCTGTGGAAAGCAGCCACTGGGACATCAAACCAAGAGCTGAGGGACAGAGCATGGGGGACAGTGGCTGCCCCAACAACCACTGAGCTGCCCTGGCTGGCTGGGCAGCCAAAGGTATCAGCCAAGGTGATGTGAGCAGGTCCTGGGAATGGAGACCACAGCAGGGAGAGGCCTGGGAGGGCCAACAGGAGGGTGAGCAAATACTACTGGAACAAGGCTCTGGCTTAATCACGCACCCAGAGACAAGGGTTGCTTCCCTGGGGAACTGGTGGCACATGCAGGGCTTGGTTGCTCCATCAACACAGAGCTTTTAGTGAAGATTCCCATGACAGCCCTCCCTGCCCTTGTCCTCCAAGCTTTAACAGGCCACAGAGGGCTTTGAGGGCACACCTGTAGCAGGGAGGGGTTGTTTCTACTGTAGCTGCTGCTGCTGCAGGGCTGATTCTGTTCTACTGCTAGAATTGTTAGTTCCACACCTGCCAGAGTCCTGGGTTGTTCTCCTCTTGCAACCCCTGACCCTAGAAGGCAGGAAGGAAATTCCTGCAGCTCCAGCTGTCTCCTGCAGAAGGAGCTGGGAGCAAGGCCTGAGGCTGCTGTGTGCCCAGACCCCAGAGTTTGCAGCCCTCCCCTTGATGCCTTGGGAAGGCTGGCCTAGAACAGAGGCTGGACAGAGCTAAAGAATAAAGGGGGGATTTATTAGGAGGCCTCAGTGGATCCACCTTGGGCAGCACAAGAGCCCAGCCAGGGCTACACCCAAGATGAACCCAAAATGGTCACAAAATGCACGGCTGGTCACGGGGGCTCTCACTTTTATAAATCCTGCTCCGTTTGCATATTGGAGTTCATTGTCCAATTACAGCCCCAGCCCATGAAGCCCCACCCTTCTTGTTTTGCTCTCTTCAGTCCATGTTTCTGCTCTTGGGCCTGAGTTTTGGACCATTTGTCCTTGGTCCCCAGCTAGAGCAGGAATTGTTTTGTCTCCCTACTCTGTGAAGAGAGCTCACTATCTTCTAATGTGAAGCTCAGAAGGACACACTAAAGCAGCACAGAATCTGAAGAATATAAAAGCTAAAACCTGAAGCATCACCCTGGCATTAAGCTCTGGGCTTCTTCTAAAGGCCTCTTTCTGCCAAGAGCTAATATTTTTTTCCCACTCAATCTTCTTTCCTTTCTTGGACATCTCCAGAGCACAGGGGTGAAAAGATTTTCCTCAGGTCATCTTCCCTCCTTCCCTAGTGCTGAGTCACCACTGCATTCACCATGAGAACAGATTTTCATCTGCAGAGTCTCAAAAGGATCTTGAGACACACAAATAATCTGGGCCCTTCCACTGACAGCATCAAGGACAGGCTGGCAGCCACAGACAAACATTCCTGTTAACTTTCACTGAGGTTTCCCAAAGCTCTGGGCTTGGGATGTGAGGAAAATAACTCACTTGTCCAGGTGTTTTGTTGTTGCCCTTGTCAGAGAGGTGCTGGCCAAATTGCTGCTACACACAGCACTGTGGTGTTACCCCATGGCTGCAGCACCCAGAGAAGTGAGAGGTGAAACATCGAGCAAGGCCTGGGTGAGCCAGGATGGCCCGAGGTTCTCACCCTCTTCAGCCCTGCTAGAGCTGGTGTCACCAGTCACCTGCTGGGAGCAGCAGGGCAGTGCTGGAGTCACCAGCCCTGGGAGTGGCCAAAAAACCAGTGGATGTGGTACTTCCT